ATATTTCAAGTGTAATTTATGAGATTTGTTGTATTTTGAATCTAATTTTTCTTTTATAAAAGGAAAAAGTTGATCATACTGATTTCAAAGTTAAGGATTAATTAGTTTGAATATACATTGAACCAAAAACTATCATAACATCTTAGTTGATAATTTAGTATACTTTTATTTTTGACAAAACATCCCATGTTTCGGTAGTGACTGCACATTTTCGGTAGTGACAGTAATGCTTTTGTACCAACCACATCACATTACAGAATTTTAACTTGCATACTAAACACTACAGAAACATACTGAAATAGTTTCTACAATATATTTAGTAGTAGCTTGTCAGTGGTGACTATGTGAAATTGATGAACATATGGCAGAAATGTATGGTAAAAATCAGTTAATGGCGTAATCAAACAGACGATGAACGCTATTAACAGCAATGATTATATGTTGCAATCAACCAACCACATCACATTACAGAATTTTAACTTGCATACTAAACACTACAGAAACATACTGAAATACAAAAAAAAAAAATTGCACAACTACTAAAATTTTGTATGGATTATATATGAGGATTATGTATTCCCTTTTGTCACTACCGAAACATTGATGACATGTTTCGGTCGTGACTGTTTCGGTAGTGACAATTTTATGGGATAACACCAACAAGAAAAAAAAAATGTCACTACCGAAACTCCACCAAATATTTTGGTAGTGGAAATTTTAGATAGTTTTGAACCTAACTCGAAGCTGCTAATCAGCACATGGTTAGCTAGCACAGTTCTGGACAGTGGTACACATATAAAAACTAAATGTTATGGAATAACTCTCAAAAAACGTGTGCTTAATTGCAGAAAAAAAGGTGTTCAGTAGTTACGTTCCTTAAAATTACAGATTTTTCAGACTATTGAACACATTTACCTCAAAGTGATAGGGCCTATCTACTCACCACGTAGCTATGAGAGAGAGGGGGGCACAGGAATATTTCCTGATCATAAATTTAGTGGTGTACTTAAAATCAGTCTCAGCCAATGGGCTAAAACATACACTGTTTCGGTAGTGACATGAAAAATGTGGGACATTTCTTTTTACATAAAGTTTCATAATTTATAAATAAAATAAAAAATAAATATATATTTTTGAAATACTTTTTAAAATAATTAAAATTATACTTTTAAAAACAACAATGGAAAAAAATACAAAAAATATTTCAATATCATTTTCATAAGTTGAAATTTAGGGGTTAGGGTTTGGGACAGCAACCTTCCAGGTGAAAGTACCCAATAAATTATGATTTTATATATATTAACCTTATTAATATTTTAAATAGTATTGTGGGTTTCAATAGATAATAGAAGTATCTTAATAAACATCTAAGATATTAAGACTTACATGATTTTTAAATGTTTTTTTTTTTTTTTGTTTG